TTGGTTGATTTCTTGATGATAGCCATTCTTTCTGGGGTGAGATGGAATCACAATGTTGTTTTAATTTGCATTTCTTGAATGACCAATGATGTTCAACATTTTTTCATGTATTTATTTCCCATTAGTATCTCTTCGTTAGAGAAGTGTGTATTCATCTCAGATGCCCATTTTTGGGTTGGGTCTTTGAATTTGGGAGGCCAGCTTTTTTTTAATTCTTTATACATCCTAGGTAGAAATCCTTTGTCTGAGGGGCACTTGTCTAAAATTTATTCCCAATTTGTGGTCTTTGTTTTACTTGATTGGAGATTTCTTTAGATGTACAAAAACTTTTCAATAAGATGAGCTCCCACTTGTTGATTCTTTGAAGTATTTCCCATGCAGTTTGGTTTTTGTTCATGAACTCGCTGCCTACCACAATGTCATCAAGATTTTTTACCTACTTTCTCTTCCAATAAATGTAGTGTTTCTGTTTTAATATTTAGATCTTTAATCCATTTTGACTTTAATTTAGTGCATGGTGAAAGACACGGGTCTAGTTTTAGTCTTTGGAATGTGGAAAGCCAGTTCTTCCAGCACCATTTATTAAACAGGCTATCTTCCTTCCATTGAATATGTTTGGCCACATTGTGGAAGATAAGGTGATTGAATGTGTTTGTGGTTGTATCTGCATCTTCTAATCTGTTCCATTGATCTTCAGGTCTGTTTTTGTGCAAGCACCATGCTGATTTTATCACAGCAGCTTTGTAATATAATTTTAAGTCAGGAATTGAGATGCCTCCTGCCTTTCCTTTGTTTCCCAAGATTGCTTTTGATATTCTAGGCCTCTTCTGCTTCCAGATGAACTTTAGGGGTGTTTTCTCTAGATCTGTGAGGTATATTAATGGCATTTTAATGGGGATTGCATTGAATCTGTACAACAATTTTGGGAGTATGGTCATTTTCACAATGTTGGTTCTTCCTATCCGTGAGCAAGGAATCTCTTTCCATTTACTGATATCCTCTTCGGTCTCTTTTTTCAGAGTACTATAATTTTCATTGTATAGATCTTTTACTTGTCTTGTTAGAATGATTCCTAAGTATCTCATCTTTTTAGATGCTATTGTGAAAGGTATGGTTTCCCTAATTTCTCTCTCAGTCTGTTTGTT